CCTCTCGCCGAGGCCCCCTCTAGGCAGCAGCCTCAGCCCTTGGTGGAGATCCAGTCTCACTCACTTCCAGCAGCAGGTGCTCCCACGTCGGCCCCCCTCCTGAGGCCCTGGGGACTTGCGAGTCCTGGGCTGTCCCCCACCCTGCCCCACTGGTCCTCCAACCCACTGCCGCCAACTCTCCTGAGGCACCTCTTCCCATGGTTTCCCATGCCTCAGCTCAGAGCTATAACTTGTGGTTCTGGCGTGGGGCCTAGCAAGCTCTGTGACAGAGCCTCAGCTAGTTGGGATCCAAGCCTCCAGGAAGCCCTGTGAGTCCAGGCCCAGGATCTGGTGGCCCTGCTCCGCCTACTGGTCTTGCCATCACCAGCCACACGGTGGCGCCTGGAGTCTCCTCTCAGCTCCAGCCCTTCCAACTTGGCTGGGAATGCCCACAGGCCTGTGTTCCAAGCCAACTCCAGAGCCAGGACTGATTTGAATGAGTGGCTGCATTTCTCTGGGTCTGTCCAGGGTGGGAGGTCAATTAGATGGGAACAATTTGACCATAGTCCCCTTCCTTTTAGCTTCTTTCATGAAAGCAGCAGGCAGAGCCTATCCATCTATCAGTCAGAAGTGAGGAGATGGCATTTGTGGGGAAGATGACCCTTCAGCCCCTACCCTAGAGACTGTGGGCTCATGGTGGGCTTGGGTGTAAGGGGACCAAGTTCTGTAAGCCCCAGGAGCAAGCTCCATATCCTTTCTTTCCTGTGACAGCTAAAACCTGGCAAAGAAGATAAGCTTTTCAGGAAAAAGGTACTGTCTTCTGCCCTCCTTCCTTGTGCCCTAGGCCAGAGTGATCAGAGCTGCCTGGGCCACAGTTCCATGGTAGAGGGGCAAGAGGCCTTGGGTGGGTACAGCCCTGAGCCCTAGAGGCTGACCGGCTCTCCTTCTCTCTTGCCCTCAGCGACGGTCCTGGAAGAACACGGAGGACCGGATGGCACTGGCCAATAAGCCCCTCCGGCGCTTCAAGCAGGAACCCGAGGACGATCTGCCTGAG